ACATTTATAATTAGTCTATTTTGTGTATAGAAATTAGTTTATATATACACGTGCCTATAATTGTTGTGCGTGTATAATAACAACTGCCATCACTTAGTGACGAATAATAACTACCGTCCGTCACTAAGTGGTTGATAATGTCACCATGGCACTTGTGCCAGGCTAGGTGCACTTTGAGGTACACATGGAAGTGCACAGTGTGCATGTATATACATTTATACACACTTTAAATTTGTATGATGTCATTTTCATAGCAGTGAAAATAATTCTGACTAAGCAGGAATGTCAGCGTTTGTAAAAACTAAAAATTATTTCCAAAATACAACCACTGTTGATTTCCCCAGAAAGCAGCAGTATGCATCTTGTTGACCCTGGATTTGAACTGATAACCTTCTGATTGCGAGCCGCATCCTCTAGCCATCACATAACCTGATTGATAAAAATGGGCTGAAGGTTAGCATTTGTATCTTCCACAATGTTACATGTGTTCATATTTTTTCATGTAATCATGTCGCTTAACTCATGGCCCTATTGAGAAGAGGTTCTATGAGATTCTCAAGTATGAAAGGCTTTTGAAGCTATACATTTGTTATTTCTTCACCTTTTTTGTCCTCATGAATTCCTTGATATGTAATATGTAAACACTGCTCATGCTGAAATGTACATCGAGGTACAAGTGTGTGTGTGAGACAATGAATATGTATTCTCAGCACTGCTTGTCTGGCTGAGTCTTAAATATGAATAGGCAAGCTTGGGCAGTAATATAATTATACAGTTGTGTGGATCCAGACTGGAGTTGGTTCGTCATTCTTTTCGTCATTATAACTCTACATAATGGAATGTGCCAGATATATATTTTTATTGACACACGGATGAATTGCTTTCCTTTGTGCGAGTGGGAGGTTTAAAGTTGATAAAACGGACGGGCGTAAATAATGGCTCTTCACTTTCACACGGTTTGTGAAAGGTTTTTTTTTTGTGACGGCATTGTAAATGCATCACCAAGTTACTAAATGTCCAAGCTGTTCTAATTTAATTCATCCTTTCAACAACGAAAACTTTTTTCTTTCTCCAACTTAAGCACGTTTGAAAGACCGCGGACACTCGCGTGAATGCAAAGGCCATGGAGCCAGCAGCGGCATTTTAGGGCAATCCTTGTGGGCAACCATAATTGGCAACCGTTGCTTGCAACGCATGAACCATGAGCCGACTTCGGTAGCTTGGTGGGCAACTGAATGATGGGACAGAGTTCTCTCTCCTGCAACCCACAGCAGTGTGCAGCTGAAATTGATCGGCTGAGTCTACTCAGGAGGCCCGTCATGCCCATCATACCACATCTCTCCACACATCTCATCACACCATCATACCACTTCACACCATCTATGCACACCACATCTCTCCACACATCTCACTACACCATCATACCACTTCACACCACATCATCCCCCCCCCCCACAAGCATAACACACCACCACACTATCTCTCTACACCAGTAGTTCTTAACCTGGGGTGCACGCACCCCCTGATGGTGTGAGATGCCCGTTCTGGAGGTGCGGGACATACCAGACTTTTTTAGAAGGTAAATCGAAACACAAATTAAACCCTATGTATTTATTAACATTATACATTGTTTTACGACTGAGAACCAAAAAGGGTGCGAGGCTGCCGTAAAGGTTAAGAACCACTGCTCTACACAATCATACCGCCATCAAAACTTTGTGTCCAATAGCGTCAGACCACACGACCACCACCCCATCGCACCAACCGTCCGCACCGTACTGTTCCACGTCCCACTCGTGCGAGGGACTTGAGGCCGCCGTTCTTTTCAAACGAGGCGAGAGCGCTCGACATCGGGCCGCGATGCGAGGCCTGCGATTTTGGTTGGAGGTTGCTGCGATCGGATTTGTTCGGATGTTGGGCGACGAGATGTCTACGAGCGGAAACGCCGCGGCGACCGTCGCCCGCCAAACTCTCGCCCCTTCGGATCGCGGCCGCGGGGAGCCCGCGGCTGTTTGCCACTTGACGGGGGAGCGCCGTGCAAGCGCCACTGTCGCAGAATCGGTGTCATGGTGCCGCGTGGCCTTTATTGCCGACTCCCATGTTTGTCACCGCCGCTCTTGTTTTACCCAACAGAAACGCGTTGCACTCAATCCTGGACGTTGCTGTGTTTATTCTTCTCATTGGTGGTGGGCCGCTGCTTATTGAGCAGCGGAGCGTGGCTCAGGTTTAAATGGCTCGAAGCGACTGACAATTTAGAGCAGCCACTACAACCCCTTCTCCAGCTCGGGCGTCCGGCAGTCCATTCAACTCTCGATGCCAACGTTTTAATTGTTGATGTAAAGCCTCTTTTTTTTGGACATGCATTTGGATTAGCTTTGATCCGTAACTTTAGAAAAGGATCGCATGTTTCTCGAACACAACCTGATCTCAATGACTGATGTATGAATTTGCTGCCCCAGTGCTCTGCTAATCATCGTCTATCGCTACCGCCGCCGTTGTAACTCTGCTTGAAAACGCGGTGGTGGGGGTGTGGTTGGGGGGGGGGTGGCTGTGGGGGCCGGTCTGTGTGTGTGTGGTCTGGTTAAATGGTAACCGTTAGAAATCTTAAACAAAGAAAAGCTGTAAATCGTGAAATAATAATACTGTACGTTATAAACCCGGGTTTCGTGTTGTCATGCTGTTTACGCCATCGGTTAAACATTCGGAATTGGGGTCGACGATCTTGAAGGTTCCTGGGTGGGTGATTTTGACGCACGTCGTTTGCGTTTGAGAGCAATGGTCTTTGCAATACACTTTAAATAATGTACATTACATTCTACGACTGTACTGAGTTATGAGCATCGTGTAGCGAATGCGTACTTGACGCCAAAAAGAAACAATCATTTTACGATGTAAAAATAAAGTTATATTGGGAGATTACCATGACTGGTGTCAATCATTTTGAAGATGTTTGCGGATGCTCACTGCTTGTTCAGCTTTGCTGCTGTCTAGGTTTGCGTCGTTGTGCTGTACGGCTCTCCCATGTGCTTTCGAGTTGTACTACTGACACGATACGAGGGCAACGTGCGGCACAACCCAACAGCGACAGCAACAAAAAACACAGCGGAGAGTCATTTTAAGCATCGTGACCAGAATTTGGCTTTTTGTATCAATTCCCACTTCCTGGTAAAGGAGGACCACCTTGCGCAACGTGCATGCTTGTGTGAGCGTGATGGCTATGCATAAATTATTTTGTGTCTTCCCAATTGACCGGTGGCCAGTCAACAATGTGTGTAAACGGTCGCAGATGCTCCGAGTGAATGTTCTTTTTCTGGCAGAGATGAAAGTGGTAGCGCAGTCCAGCGGAGGGCAGTGTTGTGTCACGGCATGCCGTGAATGCACAAACCATGCTCATTAATAAAAGGCGACATCAAGAAAGACATATCTCTGCTTTTTTGCAGATCGGAGGACGGAGTCTTAATTTAATAACAATTTGCCTGTTTGACACCGTAGGCTTTCACGACCAATGTTATTCATGATAAAGGTTTTTTTTGGGTTAGATCGTGTAAGGATAATGTGTCGTTAACCTGCCACCACCCGACACAGCCAATTACTAAGGTTTGTCACTTAAACAAAACATGCCAATGAGTTACTACTTCAGCCTACCGGTTGTGTTCACAATTCACAATTCTGGCAAAATCGCCCGACGATGCTCTATGTAATTGATTACCTGCGAAAACGTAACGGTACTGAAATTGTAAATGTTGTGGATTTACTTTCCATCACACTGGTGGGCTGCAGTAATTAATTGGCACGTTTTTTGTTTACATAACAAACCTTACTAATTGGCCGTGTCGGGTGGTGGCGGGTTAACGACACATTTATACTTACGTAATCTAATAAAAACATGTATTATAAACAACGTGCTTGTATTTAATTGTAGAAATGGCAGGGTTGTTCAGCTGCGTATCCAGGTATGCGGTAAAAATGTACCAAGGAGCAGCAGCTACTGTGGGGGTCGTGAGTGTTTGGACACCTCCAAACATTTGTATACATGGCTAAGAAACGCTCAACATTCCCGACAAAATCATGGCATAATTGACTGCATTTTTGTCTATTTAACACCGTGACATAAACGTTGATTATGCTGAATGTGCAGAGTGCACAAACAGTAGGCACAGTATGTAGTCAGTATTCAGTAGCTGCATATATTTAATATGATAAAAGTAAGTTGTTTCTTAGCTTGGTATGGTTTTGGTTTGGTTTGTTTTGGCACAGATACAACCCATTGGACAATAAATTTTGATAGGGACCCGATTTACAAAAAAAGCGTGAACACAACCAAAAACAATTGTACACAGTGGTCAAGTTTCGAATGGCAAGAATGTGCATCAACACTACTACCGGCACAAAAATCACAAGGCTAGGATAATGCATCACGCATCGTCACATGATATCACAGGATAATGCATCACATCACACGATATTGGGTGCAAAACAGCGGTGAAGTAGGAAAGATCGTGAAATCAGAATAATGTTGCAGCTTTACACAATGTGGAGTTTTGTTGTCGAGTTCCTGAATGTGGCGGTGTCTTACTTATTGATGGACTTTTTGTAAAACTTATCTTGGTGCACTTTAACAATGAGGACATGACTCGACAGATCTTAGCTGGTCACCGAGTTGCTGGTCATTGCTGCCTCCATTATGCTTTCAGTGATGGTGCCCTGCCACTCGTGTTACTGCTGCTCCGTTCGAGCCTCCCCCACTCGATTGCCAGCGACACCACGGCCAACCTGTCTGGAAAAGCTACTTGATATTTTCTGCTTCCCAGAATAACGGATATCAAAATCCGCGCTCCCGAGTCGTCAACAATGCGTTGCTTTCACTGGGTTTAATGCAACGCATGCTTCGGCCTGTTAATGGGCACACGAACAACCCGAAAAAAAGACGAACAAAAGTAAAAGTCCCCCCCCCCCCCCCCCCCCCAGTTTGTAACAGAGGGCAGCTGCACTGAAACCCAATAGGGAAGGCGTCAACGTCAGCGATACTGGAGCGGCGGCACACAACGTCCGAGCGGGGACAAAGTTGTACCACAGCTGCCACGGACACCACAGCGGCCGCAACCCCGCCGCCCGAAGCTACTGCTCGCCCGAACCCAGCCAGCCCGGCCGCCCGTCCGTCCGCCCGTCCGTCCGGCCGAACGATAATGGAGATCCGTCTTGCCGTCTGCGCGGTCCTGCTGCTAGCGGTCGGCTACGTGAAAGCCTTCGGCTATGTGTCCGGCCCTGGTGAGTGAAGCGTTGGCTTGCATGTTTTGTTGGTGGTTGTGGTGGTTGTGGTGGTGGTGGTGGAGGACTTAAAATGGAAAAACTGCAACGTTGGTTGAATGAGGTGTCTTCCAAAAGTGTTGCAGGTCAGATTTTATTTGAGCACCGGCGGGTATGGAAATTAAATGTGGTTTCCAGTGGCAGCGGGGGAATATAACAGCCCAGATGGGTAAAAAGGTAAAAGTGCAACCTTGCACTTTTACTTTTTATAGACATTGATTCTGGGTCACGGCAAACTTCAGTGGCAAGCTGAACCAGAATTGACCCTGAACACCCCCTGTCCACTAAACCACACCGACCAGCATGGTGAAGTATGCTGAAGCAAGCCCCATGTTTCATACGGCACGTTGGAGGCCTTTAATCAGCAGTGAATGGACAGAGGGCTGTACATTATAATTCATTACAATTCACTCGTTTAAATTTACATCCCCTCATTAAATCAAGAGTACTGAGTCGGCAACCTCTTATCACGCTACTATGCAATACTACCGCCATGTCTCTCGGCATCTCTGCACATCGCCACGGCGGGGTGGTGCAGTGGTAACACGTGTGCCTCACAGCAGCAAAATCCTGGGTTTGACTCCTGACTCGGGCGCCTTTCATCGTGAAGTTTGCATGTTCGCCTGTGCTGCGTGGGTTCTCTCTGGGTTCTCTGGTTTCCTCCCACAGAAACGCCCCGCCCCCCCCCCTCACCGCCTGTAACATTCAATGTCATTTGTATTGGCCAAATATCCCAAATGCTTAACAGTTACCTGCAAATCACGCATATGGAATTCAACATAGCGACGTCGCCTCCGAAAATTTGGCAGAGTCTCCTGAAATAAAATCGCGGGACTCGGTGTCTTTCCTGGTTTGAGAAAGAAAAACATAAAAAAAAAATCTAACCGACCGGCCACCCTTTCAAAAAAATAGTTGCCAGGCTTCAGAATAACCCTCTGCGTTGCACGGCTTGACACGGCTTCCACAAGGAATTCGAACAAAATGCCACCGTGCTGGTTGCGCTCCGTTTGGTTAGGCGGGAAGTTGGAAATGCTACATTTATTGATGGTGTCTGAGAACACAAATCATTACCGGGGTGCAAATTGAAACGCAGTTAAAATTCATAACAAAAAAAATCATCTCCACCAGTGTCTTAATTATTCGGTTGAAATACTAACTAAACAATTCTGTTATCAATTATCCAGTAATAGCCTGCCCGGTAATTGGTAAAACTACTTAAGTTGGACCAGGCTATGGGTTATAACTTCCTCATTGTAGCTAATAGCCGGAACAGTGGTGTGCGGTTGAATGGTACACATTATACCATTACTCTCAAACATTAAGGTTAATAAGAGGTTTTGGCTGCCGCTACTTATAGAATTAAGGTTGAGGCTTCGTGTTGAGTAAAAAAAAAATCCCATTAAGGTTAAGGTTAGGTGTGTTATTTTAAAACTGTAATTACATATGTTGTAACCGCCGTACGTCACGCTGTCTCCTCGCACATTTTCATCGCGCGTGCTTTTCCATTCATTATCCCAAAGTTGTTGAAACCTGCGGCAAGGATCTTCAACTGGGATTCGTTTTCTTTATTTTTATCCGTCCCGAAATTTTCATTGCATCCTGGACAGCACACGGCGATGACCGTTGCTTTATTTCAGCTGCGTCTGCCCCCGAGCCTGGAATTCCAATACGGAACGCTGGGCCAACGTGCCAATGTTGGCCCAGCAGCATTGGCACGTTTACTTGGGATCCAGTGTTGCCTCTCGCTATCGCTGGGGCTACTTAGTCACGGGAAATATTCCGTGAGGGAATGCAAGCCCTGTTGACTGTGATTTGAGCTGTTGCTCTGGAGACCGGGAGATCGTTGATCAATGTCAGGTCGCCGGGTTGATGGCATTAGTGGTGATTTTTCATTTTAACAGAGTAGTGGGCCACGCGAAAGTTGCCGTCTTCCACTCCAAACGATGATAAAGATTTTGTTGGAGGGGCAAGGGAAATCTTTTTAAGAGAGACGGTAACTCACTCACACCGCCTCTCGTCCCCGATAACACGATGAATTGTCGGAGTTGAGCACCACGGTGTGAGTCGTTTAACATAGCGGCTAATGGAGAATTCCTCTAGTGGCTGGCAGGGGTGACATGACTGACCCCGTTAAATACGTGATATACGAAAAGAAAAAAAAACACTTAAATTAATATTCACGTCTTCATCTATGGTGTTTTAAAAAAAGCAACAGGCTACAACTGTACTTTTAATGTTGTAAGCCATTCCATGTCATCAGCGTAGCTGAGTGGAGTCTGATAGTCCCATCAGAATGCACCCGTTGTTATTGGGCAGCCATCAGTGATATGCCTCAATGCCTGATACGCATACGATTCGAGGCAATGGAACCACCATCACCACCACCATCACCACCACCACCACCATGTTATAACGAATCACGGCGCGAGATAAAAAACCTGTGAATCGATGCGCTGTTAGACCTGGAGGGTTTTTTTATTTTTAACGCTCTTTAGCTGTGATCGGCGCATAAAATCTCCCCCTCCCCCAAAAAGAAGAAATCCACGCTGTCAGGGTGCGATATCGCGCAGAGCCCCCACGTGCAGGCGGTGTGGTGGCTCTAATGAGGCGTGCACGTGGCTCTAATTGATGGAAGGCACCGGGCACACAGCGAATTCCAAATGAGTCTGTGGGGCCGGGTGGTGGGGGAAGTGGGGATGGGGGGGGGGTATGGGGGGGGGGCAGCTGTTGGGAACGGTCATAATTTTACTGGCGGAGTGAGTGATTCCGAGAGACGGGGGCGTGGGGGAGCGTGAGGGCATCTCCCTCTTGGGTAGTAAACACTACAGACAATGTCTCCAGCGTTGATGCAGAGTGGAAGCATGTGGGGGTGGAGGGGGAGTATGTGGAAGACAGGTCGTATTATTTTCCAGCAGGAGGCTGTGGCACCCCGCTGGTGCCACTCCGCTGGTGCGGCGGCCGACGTGGGTCTCTGCGTGAGCGTCTGTGACAGATGGCTACAAGAGTTGCCCCAAGAAGCTGCTCGAGAAGCCGTTCCAGAGGGGCTGCGCCAACGACCAGGATTGTCCTTCTTCACTGCACAAGTGCTGCGTCTTCGACTGCGGTCCCGTGTGTGTCACCCCCGTCGTAGGTACGCGCTTCGGTTGGGCTACGTACGGTGCGAAAGAAGTAATAGAAAAAGACAAAAAAAGACAGACACCTCGGAGAGCTATGCAGCACAACCACGGAAACATACGCATCAGCAACATTATTACTCATCCACTTGATTGCTACAATATGGAGTCTAATCAACCTTTTGTTTCCATCTTCTAGCCGCCGTAAGGGTCATTCTGCTCGAGTCAGCTGCTTTCTCATGGCGCTCCCCTGTGATCTCAGTGACCCAGCTCACTGAGCCACTGAGAGACGAAGGTTGACGGGCATGCTGTCACGGCCATGTGAAAAAAGCCCTTATAATAATTCTCTTTAAGCCAGGAAATCCTGAGTCTTAAGATTTTTTTTCGGGGTGGCCCTGATACATTGGAATGCTTTGCCCAATTCCAGTAATAGGTGTATGGCATGTTTTAAGAAACTGTAATACCGAGAGAAAATTCACCATGCGTACGAGGAGGTGGTAACACTCAAATGTCTGCGTACATAGATTCAAGAATCCCTTTGACCGTGCAGTTGTTTCCCGGCCACCTCGCTACCCGAGCCCGCAGCACTTCGTATTCCCAGGCAGTCTCCAATCAAAGTACTAAGCAGGCTCAATCAAACCTGCTTAGCTTTCCGACATCCGAAGGTCGGGCACGTTGATTTGGTCGTGGCGGCTGGGTGTGTGTCATCCTCTTCGTGGGTAACAGGGTGATGTCCGAAAGGCGCTAATTGGCCTCTATCACGGCGAACCTTTGACCTGCCTGCACACACACGCACAAAAAAATACACGGTGATAAGGTGGATAATATCGTGCACGTTTATGTGCGTTATTTTCACTAGCGTGAAACAAAAACGAAACCTATTAACAACAATCTTTATGTAGCGTGCCTTGTTAGGGCCAGCAGCTTGTTTATGATGAGACCGTCTAAAGGAACAAAATTGATTGGTATGACCTGGAACGTGACATGGAACGGGGGAAAGAAGAAAACACCGCCATCGACATCCCTTTTTAATGGGTACACATTCTCACCTAATTACAATTGTCATTGACCATCACGGGGGCCGAACGATGCTGCAGGCAAATAGGCGGTAGGCTGTGTCATCGTTATTACGACAGGCGTGTGCGTGAGCCAAGGAGATCATTGTGGAGTTCAAATGTGGCTGAGAAGGGGTTTAAAAAACAAAAAAAACCAAGTAACATCTTTACCTTGTTGCACCTCTCTACCCTCCCCCCCCCCGTCCCCTCGTCCAAAACATTGACCTCCCCTTGGACGAATCAAACGAAGCTCCCTCACTCCAGCGTAGGTTTTTTTTTTCACAGTTGTGCTGAATCCAGGAATTGAAATCCGGAGAGCGATTTGAGCTCATGACGATCGTTTTCTGGCACGTGGACACGACAACGGCAGACTTTATGGAGAGCAGCACGTGGCGCGACTCTCAAACACACGAGCACAGAGCGAGGGACTAAACTGTAGGATATCTTATCAATTGGGTACAACCCACTGAGCTGCATTAGCTCCTTATTAAAGGTGACCTAGCCACGCATGACGGCTCATCGAAGTGGGAATTCATAGTAGCCAAGTAATCTAAACACGCATGTCTCTTTAATGTGGAGGGTCAAAACCGAGGAGGGACCTGGAGCAAAATCCACATAACCACGGAGAGAGAGAGAGAGAGACACGCAAACTCCAAATATATACAGGCGTAGGGGTTCGAACCGGTCACCTCCTTCCTACCCGGCGAGGGAGATAACATCTCGCCACTGGGGCCCCTCGAGGAAAGCCCCTTGCTGTTCGTGTTGCGAGGCTTCACGGCCGCATGTTGTGTGTCCTGTGTTGTCGCCGCAGTGAAGTTTGGCGTGTGCCCGGTGCGCCACGGAATGGGCATGTGCGCCGAGTACTGCACGGATGATGTGGAGTGCCCCGGTGATGAGAAGTGCTGCAGCAATGGCTGTGGTCACGAGTGCATGAAGGCCCACTCGGGTAAGTAAGGCTGCCCCCTAACGTCCATTGGCCGGTGAGCCGGTCTCAACGGTGGCTGCGGGGAAAACAAATGCAGGCTTGGGAACGCCACATTTCCCCAACCCCCCCCCCCCCCATCAATGGGAATGAGACCTCCTCCTGGGTGTCACTACTTACGGTGAGAAATGCTGGTGAGAGACCGGCTGCTTGAGACCAAGCCACCCTGAATTCACCTGATGTCATCGTATATCAGAAGTGGAACGGGGTTGAGCCGAGTTTAAACTTGGATGGGTGACCAGCAGTGCTTGCTGGGTGTTGTAGGTTGTGGAACTTTAACGTCACTAGGAGAGCCATTGAACAGCCTTATCCAGCCCACAGGCTCAAAAGAACTGAATTTGTGGCCATCTCAACGAGTTGAGAAAATGTGACTATCCCAACAGGCAGCAGTGTCTTTTGGGATGGCAACATTTCCCCAACTCTCTGAGTCCGTGGTTATAAACGGCAATTGGCCAGACGTTCAGTTCATTTGAGCTGGTGTTCTGGATATGCGGAGATATTTTGCACATGCAATGCTCCCCATGTTCGTGTGTTGTTAAATCTTTTCTGTTTGTTTTTTCCATTCGGCACTTATTATTCTGTTTTGATGGGTTTCCTCCACTTTTACAGATTTTAATCTCTGCGTGTTGTTAAATCCTCGCGGCAGTGATGTATCGTGGTTGGCATTGGCCATTGCGACCAGCAATGACAACGGGACCTCTGTCCAAATACCCTCATCTGGCCCCCTCCGGCCCGTGACCGTGGGGGACGCGGGTTGCAATTCGTCTGCGAGACGGGGCAACTTGACAGCAAAGTTGGGATAACATTCTGTAAAGGGTGCAGCCCTGCAATTTCTCGCTGGTGCCACTGCTGGCGAAAGGGGCCTCCAACAGAGGGAGTCACCAGAGCCCACCCCTCGAGGTTGTTGGTCTCTAGAGCTTGGGTAAAAGTAAAAAAAGAAAAAGACAAAGAATACCAAATAAAAAAAGTAGCGGCCGACCTCGGACACGACCAGTTTGGGGTGGGTGGCGGGTGGCGGGTGGCGGGTGAGCTCGATACCGAACCCTGCCGCTACTGCGAAATCCACGCACGGGGTGCAGCAGCGGCACGGCACGCGCCGGGCAACAACAGGTGCTATTTCTAAACGCGGTGCCAGCGCCCCGCCCGCCCGCCCGCTCGCCCACGCACGTTGCGCTGACAATAGCCGCCTTTGTGATCTGCGAAGCTGCCGCTTTGCGGTGGTTTTGGTTGACGTGAGCAGGGAAGGATGTTCAAGCGGCTAATGGAGAGAATGTATATAAAAAGAACCATTTCCCCCCACCAGTTTGCTGATTATGCTCCACGATGGGCTAGAGAATTCGTGGCCGTGCCACGCGCCAAATTGCATCTGGCAGCCCGTTGGCCCCAGCGCTTGAATAACTCAGTGTGGCGTCCGCACCAGAAGCTCGGCCGCTAATTAATGTTCTGAGACTGCCCATTGGAGGAATGCCACCTCCGGGTCTTTTAGTGCGGTAATTTTTCCATGCACGGTCCGTGCCGCTGGAATGAAATGTCTTATTTTTGGTTTGTGCTGTCAGCATTGGTTAAACACAAATATTGTTGACAATTACAACACAACCTTCCCGGAGGGGAATCTCAGTTGCAACTCACACGCCCTTCATTTGTTTGGAGGAATTTGTTTTAATTATCAGCGGTGGAACGATCCACACCTTGCTGGAACTTTACAGAGAATTTTCACAATCCAGGATCAATATTAAATTGCAGAATTGATTTTTTATTAGTACTTGAGAATGGTAGCCCGCTGTAGTGGCTGCAGTGGTAACATGAACCCACTACCTGCAACATGTACAAATGGAAAAACACCAATTCTCAAACATGTGATTCAGTCACATATCATGAGCTTAATACTGTAATAGATATGAGTCGGTGCATCATTTAACTACTACTGTTAATACTCTACCAGAACAACATTTGAGTGGCGTGGAGGCGTACATATTTAGACCGCTGCTCTATGAAACCATTGAGTTGAGTTCAGTTCCCGGTCGTGGCGAGTGGTATCTGAACTGGTCCTGGGACCACTTCACCAAACCCCTATTGATTGGCGTGGTGAAGTATGGTCAAACTGGCCCCATGATTTCATCACTCCATGTCCGCGGTGGACATCCTCTTCGCTATCACCCCCCACTTTTGGCTGCCACTGTTCAAATGAGCTCCCCGGCACGTGGAGCAAAACGTCGGACATCGCGCGGAGCAACCCGCGTTACACCGCAAAAAACACATGGGACAGCTATTACTATTATTATTATGGATGCAATTCTAAATAAAGTGGACAATTGTTACGTGGCGGGTGTGGTGACAGTGTGCGGTGGCGGCCCTGTAGCGAGATGTTAACTAACCTCGCCCGGTATGCATGAGGTCGTGGGTTCGATCCCGACCACCGACGCTTGCATATTCGGAGTTTGCGTGTTCGCCTCTCCCCGTGGTCGTGTGGATTTTTCTCCGGGCCCCTCCGGTTTTCCCCTCCACATTTCGAATCGGCGCGCGTTCAGAATATTTGGCTGCTCTAAATGCCCACGTGACAAGCCACTTCGTTGCGCTACAATTTGTGGGCAGGTCGCTTCTGAAAAATATCTGTATAGCTCAGTTGGGCCTTACACCTGGTAAAATATGAAATATTGTTCTTTATGATCATTTTTCTTCTTCCTCTTCAGTGAAGCCCGGGAAGTGCCCCCAGCCCAAGACGACGGGGATGTGCGCCGAGTACTGCGAGCACGACGGGGACTGCAGCGACGATCAGAAGTGCTGCCAGACCACTTGCGGCCACGCGTGCAGTGACCCCTGCGAGTAGCCCCCCCCCCCCCCCCCCCCCCCCCCCCGCTCCCACCCCCACCGGCGGAGGGGATTGGAAACCCCCCTTGTAGGTCGGGCGCATGGAATTCCCCGAGCGGAGTTTTTCCTCCTCGGCGCGCGCGCGCGCGCTCACTGCCGGATTTAGGATGTCTGTTCCCCCTGGGGGACGCCGGAGCAGAACGCGAAGAGTCCCTCGCTCTATCCTTAGCTAGTTCCTTGTGAGCACCATCGTTATCACCGGACGTCATCGATCCCACTGCTGGTCGACGGCTTCGCCAAAAGTCGGCACGGTTACGCACGGTGCGAAAGAAGTGAGACGTACACACGTCCCTCGTGGTCCCTCGTGGTCCCTCGTGGTCCCTCGTGGTCCCTCGTGGTCCCTCGTGGTCCCTCGATGCGGCAATCCACCTTGCGTCCGCGCACGCGAGCTTTTAAATCGCTCCAACTACACGAGTGGACGTTCTCTCGGATGTGTTCCACGACCGAGATGCAAGCTCCATGAATGTTGTTGACCTTCGGTCATCATCCCTTCTAACGACGTGTCCCTCCGAAGCCCGCTTAGTTTGCTTATCACTTAGAATGATGTGTTCAACCTTGCGCGTGTGTTCACGCGTCCATGTGTTCATCTTTTTGTTGTTGTCAGCACGATAGGAGAGGCTTAATCTATGCCAGTTGGGGGGGGGAAGACTTGAAGGATGAAATGCAAAACAACTTAATAAACAGCATTAAAAAATGCGATCGTTTATATTGTTCATAAAGATGTCATCACGCCCAAAACTGTTGATGTCACCACATCTCGCAAGCGATCTCCGCCAAAGCTCGCAGCTGCCACACAGTCGACACGCGATCTCCAAGATTTGCCGTAACAGAATCCCACCGTTTGTTCGTAGGTCTTCCCCTTGGTCGCTGGACTCGTGGAGTCCATATATTGGTCATACTGCAACAATAATCATCATGCTAAAACAATAATAATCATACACAGTCCCTAGTTTTTTTTTCCCCCCTGTCAGCCTCTCTGGAGATGTCGGCCGCGGGACAAATGCCCCGTGTGCCTCCCCTACACCTAAATCCGGCCCTGCGTGCTCCTGCGTTGCGTCGTGTGTCACTGCGTTAGATCGCGTGCACCCGTGTTAGATGGTGGACTGAGACAGCCTGCCGCTGGAGATGTTATCAGTCGGGCCATGTGCAATGACTGTTGCTGCATGTGTGACGTGTGCTGTCTGCAGACTGCGGCTTCAAGGGAGTTACAAGCCTGTTGGGAATGTGTGGGTGCATGTGTCTGCGCGTGCGCATGTCTGTGCATGCAAGCGCGCGCGTGTGCGGGGAGCGGTAGCGTGGTGGTTCGCGCACTTCACCATGAATCTGGTGATCCGCGTTCAATTCCCGCTCACGACCAATAACAGTGGCGAATGTTTGAACTGGTCTTGGGCCTCCCCAAGGTTGACTCGGCCTCAAATGAGTACCTGGTGCGATGTGTAAACATCACCACTAGGGAGACAAAGGTGGCAAGGCGTTGTGCTGGCCACCCACCCCCTCGTGTGCTATGCTGGCCTTCATCGGTGCTCGCTAACAGCACTTGCCCCAACAGTTTATACGGGGGATCTTTGTCTTTCATATGTGGACAGTGGTAACATCGTGGTTATCCCACCACACTACAAAACCGGCAACTGGAGTTTGATTCCAGGCCATGGCAAACATTGGCGGTGAATACGTTAACCAGTCCTGGGCCTCCCCTAAGTTGATTGAGCCTTCATTATCTTGGCAGACAAAGGTGGTCGGGTGTGGCGTTGTTCGTGCCGCTACATCATGTGCTGTGCCGGCCTTCATAGGTGCTCAACAGACAGCATTGGCTGCAGCAGCCTGAAAAGAGCTTAAAGTGGATCTTTCTCTTTGTGCGAAGCGTGGCTACGGAGCTATACTGTTATGCCTTAAATAGTTAAATTTTCAGTTGCAGTGATTTTCTCTTTTAAAAATTGTCGCGTAAATCTAGATGTGGGATGTTGCTGTTTTGGCCCAAATGCCACAGGGACATCAGAACAAAATAAAACGGAGCCATAAGAGTGCATCTGTAAGGGTGTCTATCTGTAAGTGTGTCTGTCTGTAAGAGTGTATGTCTGTAAGAGTGTCTGAGTTTCTGTCTGTAAGAGTGTCTGTCTGTAAGAGTGTCTGTCTTTAAGTGTGTCTGTAAGAGTGTCTGTCTGTCTGAGTGTCTGTCTCTAAGTGTCTGTCTTGGTGTCTGTCTGTAAGAGTGTCTGTCTGTAAGTGTGTCTGTCAGCCTCACCTTGGTTCAACTTGGGCCAGCAGGCAGGCAGGCAGAGCCATGTGGGCAAGGATCAGCATTCGTGTTCTTTACACTGTGGTTTTTAAATAGCGGTGTTTGTAGAACTCTGAAGTCTGATGCAATGGCAAGTTGGTCTCTAAATAAACACACGTAACCCTGCCAAGTGCTACTTAACTAAAAGTGTGTTTTTTATGTCTTTGTTGTCAAGTAAAATTTTTTTGCGGGTGACGTGGCTGAGCCGATAGCGTGTCCGCAACGTCGTTTGCAGAGGTTTCAAGGTTCGAACCCAACAGCCGCCCCTGGTTAACACTGCGGGTGCTCTGAGCACGAGTATTCATTGTCTGCTTCAAAGTAGATGTTAAAGGTCCCGGTGACGTTCGTCGGAAAAGGTGACGCACCAAAATGTTGCCGGTGTCACGGTCCAAAGTTGAAAAGTTCCTCGCAAATTCCTGTCTTGGATAAAGCCTCACAGCTGCATTGCCCCCCCCTCTCCTCCCTTCCAATCTGTGAAACATAGCGCCTTCGCGATAGCCCTGCACAATGAGAATGACAAATTCCACATTTACCAAATTCTCATTAGTAAGTGCATAAGGTGTGGCCAACTGCTATCTATGAAAGGTCATTCAAAGGTCGGGACTTGGAGAATGTGGAGCGGTGGTGTAGTGGTTAGTGGCGCTAGGAAACAGCCACATGAGTGGTGATTATCTGAACTGGTCCTGGTGCAGTGGCTTACACCAACAACCCCCTTGCACGCCGTACCGACCTTCATTGGCGTTCGCTAACAGTACTTGCCCCAAGAGCCTGTGTAGGCTACGTGGGATGTCTTTGAATGTTGGTGTTGGGCACACGATGCCGAAGCAAACTCTTTAGATAGCACCCGCTGCCCATGCACGGGCAGCTATTAAATGTGGCCTACCTTTCCCACATCATTGAGATGAAAATCATTGCACAGATTTTCTGCTACTGCATAACAATGAAGCATTCATTGATTTGTATCACGCAGTATGAATGTCATTTTTTTAATGACATTCTAAGGGGACATTCTTTGTTCACAAAACACGTTGATGGTTACCTCCCATGGGGCTAAGTTTCTAGCTGGCAGTATATACCGTATATAAATTGTGTAAATGGGGACACTGCAGTTAGTCGATCGACAGGTCACGTGTGGCGGTGTCTGGCCAACTTGGAAGGGCAGACCAAGTAACGTTCACAATTCTGGCAAAATCGCCAGACGATGCTGGGGTGTTATCACCGGCGAAACGCCAGGGAACTCAAATTGTAAATGTTGTAGATTTACCCTCCAAACACACCGACCAGAGGGCTGAAGTAGCAACTAAATTGTCACGTTTTTTTCTACCGTGACAAAACCGTACTAATTGGCTGTGTCGGGTGGCGGCGAGTAAACGACACATTTACACTTACGCGATCTAATCCAGAAAAAAATGATGACAAATAAAAACCTCCTACAGCTCCCTCTCGTGGAGACCCTTTTAAGCCAGCAGTGGCGTTTGTGAGCAGTTCCAGCGCGCACAAATTTGTTTTTACCTTTGGGTTTTCACCCGAACATTGCAACCTCCCACTGGAAAGTGTCCTTGTTGCGGGGGTCTCTATCATAGTTGAGCCCACAGCTGAACAACAACAATAAAGTAATTTCCAACTTGTTGAGCCAAACAGCATCTGTACTGGTATTGAGTGTTCTTTCAAGCTTTAATCACGATGAAAGACTACATTTTTCTTTCTTTCAATTTTATCACCAAACCAGTCAATCTATTCGTGGGAAGGGGAATGATGGATTGATTTTTATTTCCCCCCCCCCCCCACCCAAAGAAAACTAATTTTCCTATCATCCTCGACATAAGTTTTCTTAAAGAAGATCTACTTCGCCGGAACGAAATGTCAAGTTAACCTTTTTACATCACGTGACAAGCTCGCGACTGTGGGGCTCCGTTAGTTCTCAGTTGGCCGGACGATCGCAAAACACTTTACTTGCGGCGGGGGCGACGGCCGTGCAGGCGTACTAGTGGCTGCAATGACACCCCCCCCCTCCCCCCCCCTTGTCACTAAACATCAGCAGCGTCAATCCTCGACTACGATGTTAACTCCCTCTGCCCTTTTTTCATACAGTGGTCAGAAGACGGATCGCAGAATCGCACTAAAAGAGGCCTTAACAATTTCACATTTTCGCTCCGGCCAACTGCTGTGCGTTACGTGACAAAAACAAAAATCACAAACGCACACAATGAGACGGATTTTCAATGTTTTTTTTGGGAGGGGGGGGAGGGGGAGTGGGGGGAGTGTGATGTCTCCGACGTTTCGCTTTTCCTAAGGACATGAATCTTGTCGTTTTTTTATGGGTTGCAAAGAGACACCCAAGAGAGGTTTGGTGAGTGGACTACTGCAAATTTCAAGGTAGTACGTCCCCCCCGCACCGCCAATTAGCACGGTCGGCTACGCACGGTGCGAAAGAAGTTCAACATACATACACTATAGGATTGCTTTTTGTGTTTAGTTTGTTGTCCTTCCCCCGAACCGCCGATTAGCAGGGTCGGCTACGCGCGCTGCCTACAAAACACATCGCGAGAGATGAAGATCAAAACCGCAAAGAGCCAAGCCAGTGGTCCACAGAGAAGTCCACCATTAAAGGATTTGCTGAACAACAACAAATAAAACCTAACAGGCTTGTCGGAGGCCCCGAAGTGCGAAGCGATATCAGCACAGATATTATATCAATTGCAAAGGTGGCATCCACATTCCTGTTATTCACAATTGCCAAACGTTCCATTTCCATGAGCATTTTAAGGTCGACTTGTAACTCTTCACCACACCGATGCTCTCTTCACAGCGGCAATTCGATAAATTGTCATCATCCGTAATCGCAGTTTCAGTTGAGAACAAATTCTTTCTCACAAGGAAGTAAATGTATAAGATATACGAATACTAAGATGAATTTGTACACCTGCAATCCATCGTTTATTGTAAGCGCAGGACCAATGTTAGTGTATGAGTCGACAATGCATCGTTACACCTCCGAAAGAGAAAATAACCCAAGGAAAAACACGAACGAGTGGTAAAATCACACGATAGTTAATGCATGAATCTGTACTGAAATCTCAAAATGCACGCTGCACTGCAATAATATCGTTAAAAAAGATCTCAAAAATGTTCCTCCACAGATTATGCATCGCAGATGAGGGCAAAAAGACACTAAAATGAAAACATTGACTTCCTACTTAACACATCTTTATGAATAGGTTAGCTGATAAGATATATTCATTTTCCTCGGGCCTATTCAGTTGGCTACACCTCTCAGATGATACTCGTGAAGAGAAGAAGCCGGCACTATGGATGGGCGTTTGCTTCGATTATCGCACGAGCTTTCCCAGTAATCGATGACTTTTCTCATTAATCGATTCGTCAAACGATTATTATCGATGATTGACAATAAAAAAACAACTCGGCTTTAACTAAATGTTGGTTGATAAGAGGCACGTGCCCGATTTACCCCATGACCCTGACCACCAGTACAGGAGGCTTGATGCGTGTGCGTGTGCCACTGGGTAACATTTAGAGGAAGCTCATAAAGGACGCCGCTACTGGGCAGTTGGAGGCCAGTCGCCCTTCCAACAATAAGAAATAGAGACAAAAAAATAGAGCTTTAGTGAAATAAGTGAACAGAGCTGCAGTTAAGCCAGACACTGGTTAGATGAATTGCCTTGTTTCTGTTATTTAGTTAATTGTGTTTATTCGGATTTGTGAAAACTACTGGACACCTGTGAAAAAGAGCGCTATAGCTCATCGGATTCCCCCGGGATGAATACATACTCTGATACTCGGGGCGGCTAAGCTTTTGCTCGACATGCTTTGGCCTCGTGCTACCCACTTGCCCGCGTGCACGTGGCTAATCGAAGCCCTCCCGCGGCCACTTGAGCATCTTGCAGAGGTCGCGTTTCCCGCGGGCGCGGGGGCCGTAGTGGTCGAGGGACGGGCCTGGCCCATCCAACCGCCAGCCGATGACGCCCTGCGAGGTGCGTGGCAGGTCCACGGGGGCGGCGTCCACCACCTTGCATGGCGAGACGTCAACAACGACAACAACAACGACGACGACGAGGTGACAACAAAGGGACGAGTGCAAACAAATGTTGCCCACGGGTATGGGCGCAATTTCTGCTCCTTGGCTACAAACGGTTTATGTAATCTTTCTCGATGGGCAAAATACCCTCGTGGCAAAGTGATTTTCTGCAAAAAGTGACCATTAATGTGCCGGTTATCTCCCGTTTACAGCCCTGAACCGGTGGTGGAAAGTCCGCATTCCTTAGGCGGGAGCAGTCTGTCCATATGTAACAGTCCTCCATAACGGTCCCCACAACATCGGCGTTCCCTGCCACCTTACACCCCCTACACCAGAGTTTACCGGGAGCACCCTGAGGTGTAAAGAGATCGGATTTGTGGCTGGAGATGAGGAGACGTGTTCCCCGAGGTGCGAAGATATGGGATTGGTGGCTGGGAATGAGTAGACAAGGATGAGTGGAGGGGGGAGGGAATGGGAGACGGGGGCCGAGCGGATAAGAGGGAACGTCTTGCGGAGTGAAGGGAGGAGAGAGTCGTGGATGAAGGAGGGAGCTGTGGCAGAGGTGGAACTAAAGGACCATCTCCGCGTGTTGGTGAAGAGAGTATCCGCTACGTGCAGGATAAGCACCGTTTGACTTGGACGCAAAGCGGTACCGACTGCATTGACTCCGGCGGGATGATGTGCTGAGTCAACCCCCAACCAGGGATCTGAGCTCGCAGCCTTCTGATTGCGAGCCGCTCGCTCTACTGCTGAGCCACCCTGCATAGATGTTTTTTTGTGTTCAACATTATTGCGCCATTTTTTTCGGACGGTTCTGAGTTTTGTAGCTCATGGATTTTTTTGATGGATCAGACTTTGGAGAGAAAGAAAAAACAAGCCAGGTTATTCAGCGGTAGAGCGAGCAGGCCCCACGAGTTGAAATCCGAGTTGAGGGATGAGGTGGCCCATCATCCATCCGGGGCCATTAACCCCTAGGGAGGGTGGGGGGACAGCCAAGGGGGGCCGGTGCTGCCGGGGGGTGGAAGGGAAGAAACAGGGGGAGCGAAAGGAGGAGGCGGGGGTGGGGGGGGGCAAGGGGGAGCGGTGCCCAACACGGCTGCCATACTTGTCTTATCGATAGACGAAGACATCCCGCCGCCATACGAACATGGGGATTTTTACCGCCGATGCTAATGTTCTGAAAGAAATTACTTTGGCTTGTACTTTCTCCTCAACAAGGGGAAGAGTTCTAGCAAGCGTACCTCCCGCTGCTGCTCTGCTGATTTGGCTGGAGTGGCAGGAGTCGCATGGCCATCACCTGGAATTTCATCTCTCGACTTACTCTCCACACGGGGGATTTCATCTTTAAGCAGCTGCAGCGACACACGAAAAGCACATTAAGAATAACACTGGTCGAGGTTAATAGGGCATTCGAAATTGAATTATTGATAAGGCCATACAGCAAACTATTTACGAATCTCATTTGATTCGCATGAAAAAATGTCACAATGGGATTATTATATTTTGCATTTTATGTATTTTTAATATGTTCATCTGACACGCATGACATGGGAGGTATAAAATTGGTCAGAACGCTCATTGGTGGATTGCACATGCATCCCGTTTTCTAATAGAAACATTTACAATTAAACGAGAATATGTTATCTGCCTACCCTGGCATGCATAAGGTCGTGGGTTCTATCCCGAAACATGCCTTTTAGATTATTTGGCTATTATAAATTCCCACATACGATACAAGCCACTTCAATGAGCCGTCACGTGTGGCCAGAAGTGCCTCTGAAAGAGAGAGCTAAGAGCACAGCGGGATGCACCAAATAAATAAATATAAAAAGTCACGGAAATTGAGTCTTGGCTGCGCATGCATCGAGGCTCCCTTTATCGCCGCCGCCGCCGCTCGACGCGACGGCTCTCGCGGCCCCCGCGTTTATATTCGCCAGCAAGCGCAGGAGGCTGCCACTGCGCTGTCGGTCACAGCTCCACCGGATCCCCGTCCAGCTCCGTGTCACCCGCGACTGGTCCGTCACGGAACGCGCACACAACAATGCGGGAAGGAGATCACCGGCGCTAAGCCGCCCGGCCCCCCCCCCCTCCCCCCCCCCCCCCCCCCCGGTGCTCAACGTGAGATTATTTGGCTGCTATAAATTTCCACGTGATAAGCCACGTGCTTTGAGCTATAATTTGTGGCCAGGTCGCCTTTGAAATATAGCTGTGTACCTCAGTGGGACTGACCTGATTGAATAAAAAAAATAGTTTATAGATTTAAGCAAAATTGTCAATCGCAGCGCATCTGCGCCACAGTGGATATTAGGAAGCCACGCTTTGGAATCTAGATTGTGAACGCAATTCTTTAGAACCGATTTTGTGTTTAGTATGTTGCCCTTTAGCCCGCACCTAAGATTAGCACGGTTGGCTACGTACGGTGCGAAATAAGTTCAACACACATAAGTACAAATAGACAGCGGCGTTCGTGTTGTTGAATTCGACTGAACCTCTCGGCACACTTTCTTCTTTGTGTGTGCTAGAAACATAAAAAATGGGTAAGGCCCCATAGTTCGAGTTTGTGGTGAGCCTGTACAGGTCAGCTTTTGTGTCAAAGGTCGCTCTCAATGCCATCGTGGCCCCTACCCCCACACTTTGTCACTGGTCTCATGGAGTCATGAGGTCGCTCTCAGCCAATAAGTGGATTTCTTAAGGACAATTTCGGAACTTTTTTGCAGATTTTCAGACCATTCACATTCTGCAATAATGCTCGTGACAAAGTGACACAATAGTTTGACTTGTGCCATCACAGCAATAAGCACCTGAGTTTGATTTCCGACGTGGGTCCCTTTCTGTGTGGAGTATGTACGTTCTCCCACTGTTCCACCTGGAATTCCTCCAGGATTCGTTTTTTTTCCCTCCTTTAGCTAACCCACCCCCTCCCCCACGTACACGCAATATAAAGGTATTGGCTAAAATCATCCCAATGCTGAAAATGTACCTGCAAATGACTTCGTCGGGATTACGCATTTGGAAGATCGGCCCCAAACTGCGAAAACTTGCCAGGGCTCTCCCGAAAGGGAGTCTTGCGATGATGGCCACCGCAGGCGGGTGATTTGTGAGGTCAGGCAACTGCGTGTATGTTGAACTTCCTTCGCATCGTACAGTAGCCAACCGTGCCAATCGGAGGCGTGACAATGTCGCCCTCACATTAAGCCTACTGCGAGTTGTAAACAATCCCCTAGTCAACTTGGCTTAGCCAAATTTGAGCATTAAAAAATACATAATAAAATTACGAATTGCGTTATAAACTTCACCGTAATTGGCAGTCCCACATGCCAAATTCACGCAACCTTCAGCGCAACAAGAAAAAAAAAACGCGAAAACTCAAAACATACAGCGAAGACGCACGAATGGATGAATCGTCAAAATTTAAATGCATGAAATCTTGTTTATGCGATTCTAATTTAAATGTTATTTTTTACATTAAATATTAATAAAGCCGATATTTCATCATTAATGGCCCATGAAATACAGAGAATTGCAACTATACGCGGTACATCGAGCCCCACATGCGCATGGTTCCGGACACCTCGCACGTTTTTATGAAAGCTTTCATCTGTGCTGCGGTGACATTTTTTGATAGTTGTTTGAATCACAGAGCCCTCGTGTGTTTTGTATTTAAATGTCTTTTATCTTAATCTCGCCTTGGGTGTGGAACTGTAAAATAATTCACACACCGAGATCAAATGAACTCGGCCAGGAAACAAGATATGGTAATTGCATCAAAATGTATTGGCTCAAATTTTTGGTTGAGGTAATGTTCCAGAAATTGAAATAATTTGGGGGAAATTGCATCACAAATGAGCACTTGTGAGCAAAACGTCCCCTATAATTTAACGTGCGAAATAGCTTGTAAATTTCACTTAGCAAGCAATTCACAAACCTCCTGCGGAGAGGCAGTCAGAAAGCCCCACGTGTTCGGCCACCTCTTTGCCGCTTCCAGTTCGGCATTAACGTGACGTTTCCTGAAATTGAAGGAGAGAGTCGGGTTTAAAAAAAAAAATAACAAAGAGATTGAGAAATGCCACAAGAATCTAGCAAAAAAAATTCGGCGTGGAGGCACAAGGTAAATGGACCGCCACGCACATTCGGGTGTTGTTTTTTTGAGTGCTAGAGCAGTGAGTGGTCGCACACTCTTCTCACATGGGGTTTTTAAATTACAGCCTTTAGCAGAAAAGGGAATGCTGTCGCGGTGTAACGCTCTGGTACACTGGACCTGCAACAGAGATCGGCCTGTGCCATTCGATGTCGCGACGCGCCAGTTGAAACAACGGTACAGGTTTCGCAAAATCGCCCTTCCCTCTGTTCGCCCAGCAGTATTTTGCGAAGTCTGGCGCAGTAGGGTCATACTGTGGGTACTTTCACCTCTTTCATCACATCTGGCCAGTGTAGAAGAGTAGACCAGGTATCCTCTAGAAAGGTCTTTCCAGAGAAGCCTGCAATTTTAGGAACGTCTGCCAGCAGTGATATGAACAAGCAATATACTATAGGGCTGTAGTTTTAGACGAAAACTATTTTTGTGACTCGTGTTTTAAGACCGAAGCAATAAAGGCTCTAAATTCCGGGAGCTGTGTTCTCAGAAGTGGGCTACTCTGCGGTGGCTCTGGGTGGTTAGTTTTATAGTTTTACCATGTTCCCTTAAAAATGTAAGATCAAGGTTAATTTATTTTTATACGTGTTTTTAATGGCAACCTACATAGAAAGTTACCTTGCTTATTAAGAGAACTGAGGCATTAAGGAGCCGTCGTTTATTGGGCATGCGATTCTCGCTAAATGTTTTAAATTGCTCAATTAATTGACGGCGTAAAAGGCAAAAAAAACTCAGAAGCTCGAACCGTTACTGCGGGGCTGAAAATGAGTCACAATTTATCATACGCACTGGCAATTTTGTACACAGTAACAATGATATCCTCTGGTCTAACACTGTTTGAGACGATACTCTAAAGAAAGCTGTCTCTGGTTTGAACGAATCAGTTTCGAAGGCAATGCATCATATACAATCAGAGCATGTTTTTTTTGCATGATCACAAGTATATGTGGTTAATACAGACATGATTCGTTGCAAAAGGTTTCAGCTTGGTGTTTTAACATCTTAACACAACTGTTTTATTGCCAGAAAGGGTAAAACCTATTCTCATAACAATGATCTCACTGCTCATCACAGTCATCATCAGCCACGCGGTCAATCCACTGCTGGATGAAGGCCTCCACAAGCTATCACCATCTCTCTCGATCCTGCGATGTAATTCATCCATCGGGTGCCTGCACATGAACCGATCTCGCTGCTGCGCATATATTTATTATTAATTTGCAAGCGTAATGAAATATAAAGAGGCTGATGGGTTGGGACTGAAAAGGGATGTGGGTTTGTTCAGCTTCTATCTTTAAATGCCCTTGTCATTTAAGATGACATTTAAAAACAGGCATGACATTTCTTATACTCTACTATCAGACTAAACCCACTGGGGATTTATAAAAAATTTTCAAGAGATCAGTGTAATATTGCATGAGAGCACACTTCTTGAAGTATAAAGAATATATAATATTATGCACGCCATTATCATCATCAGCAACAGCCATGGTCTGCTGAATGGAGACATCCACGAAGCTGCCACGATTCCTCATGATTCTGCAATATAATAATTAGCCTAAGAATCTGCACGAGAGATTATTCTATTGTTCCATCTCAGACACGTTCAAATCCTTGGCTGCCACTCCATCATTATTCTTGACGATCAGTCATTATCCCTCGTAAGCAACGGGCCTTCCCCAAGCCCCCTTCTTCATCATTAGCCACGGTTAATCCACTGCTGGATGAAAGCATCCCTTAGCCACCTCCCACGAAATTGCGATGCGGTAATCCACCTTGCAACCACTTACCTTTCTTCTAAACAGTTTGCATCATGTCTTCGAAAACTGCGTATGCACGCGTTCCCCTTTCTGCCTTCAGTACAAATTGTCTACATACATATGAGAAGTAACAAAACAAACCCCAAACGAAGAAAGATGGTGCTTACCATATCTCGTCCTGTGCAACGAAATCGCGTCGCGGTTGACCAACGTCGTCCACTCTTGCGGCCATGGGTGCCGCTTTGAGTGCAGCGGCGTGGCTGCACCTTCCACCCCCGCCTCTCCCGCGCGCGCGCGACGAAGTCCGTCGTTTCGGGACGCGGCTCGGCGACGGCGGCGTAGCAACGCCGACGCTCGCAGGAATTGCCCGCGCGCCCTCCCGCGGCGCTTCGAAACCCACGGCCACTCGCTCGTTAGCCCGCTTGCGACATGCGGTGTCACTAAGATGTCACGGAACCATTTCCACCCTTGGCAACTGCATGTCCGTACACGTGTTCTGGAAACCCACTTTGGTTCGAGGGAAGAGGGCCCATTTGGGGGCACTTTTTGCATCTTTAATACCCACGATGAAACGAACAGAGCTGGCGCAAACCTGGCAGCCGGAGCTTTTTGTAAGTGTTGAATAATAATAATAATAATTCCCCTTCATCAATGAGCGCATGGTGTGGACATAAGGGAGACAAGAGAGTGTTTGCAGGACATTTTGACCCCTAACTGTATATTTTTTTACGCGCAATTATTCGCTGGCAAGTGAAAATGATGCGGCGCGAGGTGAAAACACGCAGGACGTGAGGCTAACGACACAGCAGGGCACGGTCGCGTTCGTATTCGCGGAATGATGAATATTTCGCAACAAAAAAGTTGCCGACGCTGATGCTGCAAACAGATGGTTTGGTGAAAGAGTGTTCTCACTCACTCGTGGGATATTTGGACAGCGCAGCGTTTTTACTGAGATGCGGGTCGCAACGATTGCGCTTCGAGCCGGAATGGATTCGTCGATATACCATCAAAACATCGTCCTCGACTATTTTATTCTGATCGATTTCTCAGGGCCTCATTAAAATCAGAGACGCCCCTACATCTTGCCTCCCGAAGGTGGGAAACCCCCCTAAAAGTCACGCCCAGCATTGCACGGCTGTTGATGCCAATTACCTCAGCAAGCCTTGACCCACCAATTCCCCCGTCCGGCGGCACATCTCATCCGACCGGTGGAGGAATCAAACCGATAATCGTTAGAGCAATCGACTGCCTAAATTAACCGGGTGGCCGAGATGACATTGCATCGTACTGTACAAACTCGTGGTGAATTACCGAGCCGACGTTTGGAATGCTGTCACATGAGACGTGAAGAGCTCTTGCCAACCAATGTCCTGCGCCTCCCACAGTGAGCACCGTGACGCTGAGGGTGTTCAATAATCGCTTTGTTTCTGACCACAGAGTTGGAAAATAAAGTGTCCGCATGACTGGTCTGAGGCTGTCACGATGGAGCCCTATATAACGCTCCTTTGCTCTCGCTCGTTTTCCTTGGCTTCTCATTTGGGACATCAACTCGCGTTTGTAACGAACACAACATTCTTGATGAGGCTGGAGTTCCAATATCAAAGCTACTCCTGATGTGAAAAACGTTCCTTAAATCTTACTATACACAGCACCCTTTTCTACTTTTTACAGCCCCGACTGAAGGCTTCCCCAGCTGTATCAAGAGAGGTTGTTTGGCAATACTTCACCGCTATGCTGATCAGTGTGAATTAGTGATGAAAAGAAAACAAGTGGAGGCTAAGGAGCAGTTAAGATTTCATTTGCCACTGATGTTAGCCCTGTCCGGGAATCAAACTCAAGTTGCGAGGATCATCACGCAGCCCGATAACTTTTGTGGCACCACTGCACCATACAATTTATACATCGCGATTAGGTATATGCCACCTATTTTATAATTAATCCGAAAAAAATACAAAACTTCGGTCTAGATGCGACATTTTGGATGATTCAAATGTTTTGCTTTTTTCGGATTGATCCCAACACCGGAAGTCACTTGTGGGTTTTTGTTTTCCTCCAAAGGCGGTGTCACGTGGCATCAGGTGACGTAACTTTTGTTACAACGAAGGCATTTCACATGGGTACAGAATGGAAGTGATTTGAAAAGAATCGGAAATTTTTGTTTAATTGTCAATTTAAAAAAATTCGAAACGTTTTAATTTCTAAACTAATCCCTCGCTTCTATTATATGAAACAAATTATTTGGTGACGGTGCCACGTTGGCAGTGGTGCACGAGCAACAAAACAACTAAACGAAATTGTCAAAAAACGCCGCCTTAAAAAGAAAACATTCACCATAGGCGACGTGAAATACAGACATGCCTACACACAACAACACATGACGTCGCTGTACCGTTTGTTGTTGGTCGGGATCGTGCGTACAGCCGGCAGTATTTCACGCCTTATACGTCGTCTTAAACTGCGCATTCCGCCTGTACACGGGGAATATCGCCATCACAGGGTTAAAACTTTATATAATGCCCCGCAAACATGGCACAGAAGACTGCACACCTTTCAAACCATCTTCTGAACTGTGGCTGTGGAGGCTACAGCTGACCTTTGGAAATAAGATGTATGCTGGATAACCCTGTCACTTCCAATACCCGGCGCACTCCACGACAGACAATATTTTCTATTTTACAAGTTCACTCGTTCTCCCGTGCCGAGGCTGCCACTATTTGCGGAAATCAAGCGGTGCTGCTGTCTCCCCTCGAAGTGGGGGGGGGGGGGGAGAAATTAACTAATGGTGCGAAAAAGTGAATTTACGTCCCCGAATGAATCATTTGAATGGCACGCGTTTTAAGTGGACATTTTACTGTGGCCGTAAATTGGGCGCTGGACGTCGGTGGAAGGGTTAAGATTGGATCGGCTTGGGGGTAAAATCCAATCAAACTGTTCAGTGAAGTGAGGATGAAGACCTGAGCTCAAATCTCGGCTTCCATCACTCACGGGGAAACATCCTGCGCCAGATCACCGTCCCGGGCAGCATGATGTAGTGATGTCATAAATTCCACAGCGTTGGCCGTAAAAGAAGTCAGCGTCTCAATATTTTAGTTGCAAAAGTCAACAGAAATACTTTACTGCACGTCCGTGTGCCGATGCCAAAGTATGTCTTAGTGGCGTTAAAGCGCTCCTCCGTGCCCGTTGTTGCAACGTGACAGATTGGAAAGAGAAAGAGAGAGAGCACTGAGGTGCTCTCGAGTTTCAACAGTGAAGGCATAAAGGTTAGAGAATGTCAGTAAACAGTCCTGTGAGCTGTGCAATGGAGTGATCGAATAAATAAGAAAAGAACTCGCCAACACTGTCCATTTATCTCCAGCACTTTCGGCTGTCGATTTAGTTCCATTTGGCGAACAAGACATATCGGCTGATGCAGCACTACTGACAAAAGGTTGAATCTGAATTAACAAAGTCAAGCATCAAGCGTGCCAGTGGCTGACTTATGATGAATTGGGATTTTAATTATTAACAAGACGTCGTCATCGTATCGCGCTTGGGAGGGGGAGGAGGTCAGAGGTTGTGAGTCTGTATGAATTTCTCCCCGGCGCGAAACGTCATGAGGCTTTCGCTCGAGCGTGGAGTCGCACGCGGTGCCCCAACCTCGCATCCCAGCAAACATCCAGCTTCGCTCCGAGACGTGAAATAACCACCTCGCTTTATCTCCCGCTCCACACGCCAGGCCCACCACCCCTTCCACCGTATAGCTTCTTGTGCGAAGCACGTTGCGCGATTTAATTGCAACGACTGATGGGAATTGAGGAAAATTGCAGGGTTTGTTTCGTGCGGGGCCGCTGTTTCCATTGTCGAACGCTCCAAAGATGATCCGTGGGAAAACGTTTCATGAGATTTCCTTGCTTTCCCACCCTCCAACTCGCATATTCATTCAGCCCTCTACCCTTCTCTTCACTCATCCTCACCCCCATTCACCCTCTGCTCTGATCCCAGCGCAGTGCATAACAATCAAGGTGTTAGTCTTGGCGGAACCAACAACAGGACAATCGGGGGACAGCTAAACTCAATTCCTCTCCCACCAATCTCTCGAAAGAAAGCCCCAATGACTTTGGTGCAGTTATACAGAGTGGTCAAAGTCAACATTATTTCATTTATTTTAACACTGCCATTAAAACACTTACATTTTTATTCTTTAACTTCATATTTTATATATTATCATTGTTAATATTTACGTCTTCTTCTTCTTCTTTCTCCTGTGAGGTCACCTCAAAAACTCCACCCTGAACGGCTTGAGACAAAACATAATTGATAAATGTATTGAAGATTACACGTGGATTTTTTTTTTTACAGCCCTACATTCATTTCAAAAGATAATGAATGCACGCACTAATGCTAATGGCGGTCAGCCTCAACATTTGTTAAACATAAACCCAATGACCCTACGTGTTTCGCTAAAATAAATGTTACAACCCTGCGCCTCCTGACTTTTGGACTAACCCTGCTTAAGGCACAAAAGGAGGAGCGGTGGAAGCAGCGGTTAGCGCGAAAGGCAGAGCCACTTCGACTGCGCGAGCCTCTTTCCTGGCCAGTGCGAACGTCGGAGCAGTCAGTGACGGCCACACCGACACAGGAGGAGTGGGGGAGGGGCCTTCCTCTCTCGCTCGCCACCAACCCGCACGGACCGGCGTGGCCGAGCACGTGGATCCAACAAGCCCATGACGAGGGTTGCCACCCTTTTGCCCTTGCTTGCGTGCCACGATCGTCATCCTGTCGAGGCGATTTTCCTGGGAAATCCGCACGTCTTCTCGGGCCATTAAAGGTCCCAGTTGTGTATGATATGTAGTTCTGCCCACTCCCCCACCCCTCCCCCAATAATGTGATATATTATCTCCACCCCCCCCCCCCCCCCCCATGATATGTCCCAATTTCATGTAACTCAGAGGTGGCCACCCCTACCCATGACCGACGCGGCTCACGCGAAGGCCTTCATCTGGCAGTGGAACGCCACAAGTGTTACATTAACACCACGTGCACCAACAAGTGACGGGGTTTTCTCTTCCCCTCTCTGCCGCACCGATCACGGGCGACTCATTACAATCGACCACCCCCCCCCCCAATCCCCCCCTCCCGTGGTGGGAAGTGCAATGTTGAAAATCATGCGTTTCCTGGGGTCAATCGCCATTGACTTCCCGCACCGCGACAACTGCTCTTCCGCTCGACTGTGACACACTGAAGATCCGAAGCCGACGCTGGCCGCTCGCGATTCTCGCTCAGGGGCCGCCCGTTAGTTCACAGATGACGAACCAAAGTCCCCTTGCCGCCTCCTCCTCCTCCTCCCCCTGCTGCTGCTGCTGCTCCCTCTCCTCCGCCCTGTCACGCCGCGCACTCCGTCCCTCCGCTCCCTGAACCCAAATAACCTTCCCACAGGCTCATTAGCCCCCTTCACTCTGATGTATCACTCTCCACCGCTTTGCATCAGGCCCACAGCGTGCCCATCGAGGCGTCCGCTCTCATTCCATTAAATTTTAAATCGGCCGACAGTGGCCTCGGTGACACGGCCGCCTTGTCTCGTGCAGAGTTCCCCCCCCCCCCCGACTTGCATAATCAACCGGCGCGAATGTCCGTGGTCTGTTCGAGCAAACGCCTCCACCGCCTCCTCGAATCAAGGGGACCCAGAAACCCTACGATCATTCTCACCGCATAAATACTGCATCGGGTGCTGGCAGGCGTCGCCACTCGTGGGTTCAGAGGCAGGAGATAGCGGTGACCTTTGAAAAGAGACATCGGGAGTGGCTCCCGTGGTCTTTCTACATTGGCCTCTCCCTTTTGGTAGACGGTGCCCTAGACCCCCGACTCCAATGAACAGCAGTGGGGCCGAGGCTGCATACCTGATGCGCGCACCTGCCCCGCTCAGCTGCAGTATTTATAGTCAGACACAGGCTCAGGTGAAATCAAAGTCAACACCGAGACACGACTGCGTCCGGGCTCCGGCGGCGGCTATGCTACTTTGTCGAGGTCAGAAAGTGCCACCAGAGAACTCTGGGGATTAACTCCCCCCCCCCCCACCAACCCCCCCCCCCTCCTCCTCCACTAAGTACAGACTGCCCACCAGCCGCGGTGTTTAGTGCTAAAGTTAGCAGCTGGGGTTCAGTGAGACACTGTGCTGCGCCGTGAGCCTCAAATGAAGCAACAAATCACGCAGCTGGATCGGCGTTAATAACGGCGCGGGCGCTAAAGGGGCCAGAGCCCAGGCACGCACCGTGCGCCCGGGCTCGTGAACTCGTGAACCCTTCGCGGCAACTCGATTTGCGCTGAAACGAATCGCGACCACACTGTGCAATAAGTGCGCGCGGCCTCCGTAAGTGGGGCACGCGGAGGGGTTTAAAAAAAAAAGATAAAGGTTTTACCGCCGATTAAAGTCCATCGCTTTTATTGCGAAAACAATCGCTTAATACTGCTGCACCACTAGCGCAAAAAAGAAGATGCGGCCGGGGCGCACTTGCACGTGTAAACTTCAATGCGAACGTTTATACTACGCCGAAAGAAAAGGAAAGAAATATACAAAAAAAAAACCCCGCTTGCCAATTGGTGGTAAAAGAATACATTACGGTGAGAGTAGCGGTGCGTCCGGTGTGGTCGCTCATAAATCCCTCAGCTGATAATCGCCACCCCGGAAAGACGCGCACCGCGGTGGGACCGGCACGGTGGCAGAACCTCCACGCCGCGGTGGAACCGCACAGATGGCAGAACCTCTGCACTGCGCGGTCACCGCCCGGCGCTCTCGCTGAGCGTGGTTGCAACTGGGGCCGGGCTCGCAGTCCAGGGCGTAACACAAGGAACAAAAGCACTACTTTATATCGGTTCAAATGCAATACTGCAGCACTGTGATGAATCCAACAGGTAACGTGGCGTTTAGAGCCGTAGCAGCGCAATGCGCACGACTGCCAGGGATGTGCCAAATGCAAACCAGTTTGCGTTCGTTTTAACTTTGATTCAGCATTGACAATTCGTTGAATCACATTTACCAGCGCAAACCGAGGTAAACCACGATGGTGTGTGTTGCTTCATCGTATATAGAGGGTGCTTCAAAAAGATGTTAACATTTCGGAGAATTTACAACAACACCACAAGAAATGTCACCTTCCGAGCTCTGGAGACCACCTAGAGAAGATTCCAGGCC